GTTCAAGAAAAAAAAATCAAGGATGGAAATATTTTTGCCTCTCTCTCAAGCATCCAGCACTTTGACATTGTTTTTTAGGATGCCAACATTAGGCCCGCAAAGGCAGGCTTCTGGCACTGGTGTGGAGCAGAATTTGCCTGTAGAGTAGCTGCGTTGCTGGAATACAGGACAGAAATTAGTGCTGCTACATGCCATTTGCACATTTCATGCACAATCACTTTGTCAGGCAACTTAAACTGCTTTTTGAACACTGCGTGCTTCAAGCAGTAATTGCCTGGGATTCCAGGCTGTTGCAGAGGACAGGTCAGCATGTGAGACTACCATTTTCTGGTAAGGCAGACTGCAGAACCAGGTACAGGGAATCTGCCTACAGGAGCATTCCTTAATTAAATTACATTTTGGCTTTGTAAAAGCTCCTAAGGAATAAAACTTAAAATATTAGGGTGCTGCACATGAAAACAATAGTAGTATATATTAGAACTGTGTCTGTAGGAGATGAAAAACAAGTTGTTCATTCTGGTTATTCCAGAGGGGATTGAAGGCAACTGAAGGTAACAGCAGCCTTGTGCGTGCACACATGCAAAGACAGATGTCATACAGAGTCCTAAGTTAAAGCAGAACTTTAGCCCCTACCATGTGGGTGACTTTTTTTCCTGATGCAAGGTGTTCTCATGGCATTCCCAGCCCATATTTACAACACAGCAATTCTCTGGAAGAACAAAGTTTCTCCCACTGGTCTGGGTTACTTGTTGCTCCTAAAGGACAGCTGAAGTACTTCTGAGGGTACCCAGTGAAGGTGCGGTTCTGCACTAGGGTGACAATTTTTACCAAAGTGTACTTTATTCCTTCAGTATGTCATATTTTTCATTTGCATGCCAGTGAGTCCCTGGTTTTAATCCCTGCATCTAATTCAGTCATAAATAAGCTCTAGTTATTCACATACAGCTTGGCAGATGAACTGAAATACAGTAAAAGGCAAGCAAGGGGATCTCGTAATTGCTATTCATAACCAGGTCTTGGAACTATTACACTTAAATAGCTTGAAGCCATGATCAAGATAATTAGAGATTATGTTGTTCTTTTCCAGCACAATAGTTGCCAGGTTATACATTAGTCATGGAAAGGCAAGAGTCTCATTCTCAATCCATTGCTTAAACCCTGATGTCTAACAGATATTAGCAAATTAGATTAACTCCAGCCTCGGCTCCAGGATCATTAGCCGTAATCTGAAATTTAGCCTAAGCAACAACACCTCTTGCTTCCACTTAGGTTTTAAACCTATTTTAACTGCTTCTACCTTTTTTGTTTGCTGCTGTGCCATGTCTGCTTGGCCCACCTTTCCACAGTCTGGTGTGGCTGGAAGCCCTTGCAACCAGGACTTTCACAGGTCTATTGCCACGAGTGGCTGCTCAAGAACAATGGGAAGAACTTAGTCAGGACAGACACAGGACCTCAGAACAGCAGTCAAGGGGCAAAAGCAGGAGAAGCCCATCCCCAGCAGGATGCCACCTGCCTCTGCCCACAGTGACCAAAGTTTGGTGCAAGGCGCTGGCACAGGCTGTATTTCTGTCAGACCTAAGTGACGGACGTGACACAGAGACGTGCAGCTCCCTCTGAGAAGGACAGCAGAGGGAGAGCCCTTTGCATTGACACAGCCCCACAGAAACCCCATGCCAACGCACGTGGCCATTGCGGCCTGCTGCCAAGAGAACAATAAGCGTGCTGGCCATTGCCTTTTTTTTAATTGCTGCCCAGTACATGACAAACTGTGCAATTAGGGTTTGTTTCCATGCCCTCTGCAGTTGTCAAGGTTTGCACTTAAGAACTGTTCATTGTGGTTTCGTTTTAGGGACAACAAAGTCACATCTTTGTGGCTTATAAAGGAGCTTTGTTGTTTCTCAGACACCAAATCTCATTTGTCTGTAAACAGTATGATGCATCCCACAGATGCCCAATGAGCCCACAGGCCCAGGTTAACCCTGCAGCGGGAACTAGAATACTCCTTGAGAAGTTGGCATCTCATGGCTTAGACAAGTGTACTCTTCCCTGGGTGAAAAACTGGCTGGCTGGATGAGCCCAGAGGGTTGTGGTGAATGGGGTTAAATCCAGTTGGCAGCAGGTCACAAGTGGTGTTCCCCAGGGCTCGGTGTTGGGGCCAGTTCTGTTTAATATCTTTATTATTGATCTGGACAAGGGGATTGAGTGAACCCTCAGCAGGTCTGCAGACGACATCAGGTTGGGAGGCAGGGTCGATCTGCTTGAGGGTAGGAAGGCTCTACAGAGAGATCTGGACCGGCTGGGTCAATGGGCCGAGGCCAACTGTGTGAAGTTCAACAAGGCCAAGTGCCGGGTCCTGCGCTTCGGTAACAGCAAACCCATGCAGCGCTACAGGCTTGGGGAAGAGTGGCTGGAAAGCTGCCCGGCAGAGAAAGACCTGGGGGTGCTGGTTGACAGCCGGCTGAATATGAGCCAGCAGTGTGCCCAGGTGGCCAACAAGGCCAATCGCATCCTGGCCTGTATCAGAAATAGTGTGGCCAGCAGGAGCAGGGAGGTGGTTGTTCCCCTGTACTCGGCACTGGTGAGGCCGCACCTTGAGTACTGTGTTCAGTTTTGGGCCCCTCACTACAGGAAAGACATTGAGGTGCTGGAGCGTGTCCAGAGAAGGGCAACCAAGTTGGTGAGGGGCCTGGAGCACAAGTCTTATGAGGAGCAGCTGAGGGAACTGGGGTTGTTTAGTCTAGAGAAGAGGAGGCTGAGGGGAGACCTTATTGCTCTCTACAACTACCTGAAAGGGGGTTGTAGTGAGGTGGGTGCTGGTCTCTTCTGTCAGGTGGCTGGAGATAGGACGAGAGGAAATGGCCTCAACTTGAGGCAAGGGACATTTAGGTTAGATATTAGGAAAATTTTTTTTACTGAGAGGGTTGTCCGCTTTTGGAACAGGCTGCCCAGGGGAGTGGTTGAGATACCCTGGAGGTATTCAAAAAGCATGTAGACAAGGTACTCCAGAACATGGTTTAGTGGGCATGGTTGATGGTTGGACTCAATGATCTTGAAGGTCCAACCTCAATGGTTCTATGATTCTAAGTACAAAACTATTTTAAATGCATGAGGATTCAAAGTAAGCACAAGTAGCGCCACAGTGAGCAGAGAACTCGCCTACACCTGCAGGCTTGAACTTGGGTTTTGTGTCTGAAGACCTGCTGTCCTCTCATCCATGGGCAGGCCTGTCCTCAGCCTCTGTCCTCTTCGGTTCTCCCAGTACAACTGTTGCAGGATTATGCAAGTACAGTGGATCTGAGGTTTTAAACTTTATTTTTTAACTCAAATCAGTTTGCTGATCTGGCTCATCACAATGCCCCACAGACAGCAGTACTGGCCCAGCCAAGGTAACAAAAACCCTGCTTTGCTGCTGGGAAAAAGTTTCACAGGATGATGATGGGAGAGAAAAGGTACAACATAATTTCGCACAGAGATGTAGACTTTGCAAAAATGCATCAGAGCCAGAAATTCCCCACATAAGTAGTAATGCAAGTTCTCCGAGAGAGGTGCTAGAGACATCACGGGAACATGTCCCTGAGGATGGGTGTCCCGAGCTTGCTCAACCTGCCCAGAAGGTCTCTCAGTGTCTAGCTCTGCGTCCTTAATCCACAGACATTGTCCAAATTGTAGCATGCCTCTGTGACTGAAGCAGGCACCTCAAGCTCTGTAATTAGCATCTCCCCATCCTCCCCTAACTGTCCCAATAGTGCCTTTTGCAGCTGCTTGGGAAAGAGTTAGACAACCCTTCTCTATAGCCCATACTGCAGCAAAAGGCTTCATCAGCGATGGTAGCGAAGGGTAAGCAGGGGCTTTGTACCATGGCAAATGGCCTTGCTTTCCCCAAGTGAAAAAGAAAAGCTTCCTAGCAAAGTGCCAGGACCAGTAACTTTCTTAGACCAACGCACACTGACATTCGTAAAACTACTGCAGTGCTGATCCAGGCCTCAGATGACAGAATAGAAATATCCTTTTGATTTGAGACGACTGAAGCTTAGTATAAAAGCCAAAAAAAAAAAAAAAATAAAGGGAGAAATATAGGTTCTGGCAGTCATGCCAATTCAACTAGATTATTGTACATCTGCAATGCCTTTAATCACCTCCCGAGGACTGGCAAGCTTTGTAACACAAGCGCACCTTTTTAAAGGCAAAACCTTTACATTTGAAGCCCCAACACCACTTATGCCTGGGGAGTCCTGTGGGGCCAGCCGGCCATGGCAGCACCCAGGGCTGTGGGGAATGCAGCAGCTCCAGCCTCGCTGGCAGCCCCCACCTGAAAGGGAGGACCAGCATGCATTGCTACAGGCAAAGGGGGGGATGTGGCTGGTTTGTGGGGTGCTAACTGGCCTTCCTCGGCAGATTCGTGTGTATTAAAGCAGCATTTTGTCCATCGAGGTAGGCGGGAGGGAGGGAGGGGTTCCCACATGTTTGAGTGGGAAAGAAAGGGCAAGTACTGTCCCCATTTCAGATCAGCTTGAGAAGTCACCCCAGCAGCTGACAGGAGCTAGCGCAGAAACACGGAGGGAGACCAGGAAACAGCCCCACCCAAGCCAAAAGCATGCGAACATGGAGGGGACCCCCACGGGGGTCACCCCTCCGGGGCCTGCACCGTCCCTGCGTGGAAAACGAGGGGCTCCAGCGACCCGCCAGCGCTGCTTTCAGGGCCCCTCCCGTGGGGAACCGGGCTCCTGGGCAGGTGATTTCCCGTTGCCCCCTGGGGGAAGGCAGCGATGGATGTGCGAAGGGTCAGCCCGACCCTGAAGCGAGGCCGGCACCCCGCCACCTCCTCCCCCGGCCGCCGCGGTGCGCCCTGGGCGCTGTAGTCCTTGGGCCAGGAGCGACCCTCCGCGCTCTATGGCGGCGGGGGGGAAGGGGGGGAAGGGACTCTCCTTCCCGTGGGGCAGCACGGGGGCGGTGGCGGCCATCACGTGCCTGGCGCGGCCCGGGCGAGCCGCCATTTTATGAGGAAAAACGGCGGCCGCTGCCCGTTAGCGGTAGCGTGGGGCGGTGTGCCGTGGCTGAGGGGCGGGGGGGGCTCCCACCCCTTTTTATTTCCCTTGGCGCTTTCTCCTCCTTTTACTCCTTTCTCTCCCCCTTCCCTCCCTCTCAGATTCGCCTCCCTCCCTCTGCTTTTGTTATCCCTCCCCTCGCTTCCTCCCCTCCCTCCCCTCCCCGCCCCCGCCGGCACTGCGGAGCCGGAGACGTGACCCGGGCGGACCCAGCCGCGGCCTTTTCCCCGCTGCTCCAGCCTCTCGCCGCAGAGTCGCATGTCATCTATCCAGAACCTCCAATCCTTCGGTAAGAGCCGCCGCCTGCCGGCACCCCTCACCCCCTCCGGCCGCAGGGAGCCCCACAGTCACCCCCCCGCCCCGGCAAACCCACCCCGGGGCGGGGGGACGACTGCGGCCGTCCCCGCCGTCCCGTCCTCGGCCTGCTGTCCGTCCTGTCGCCCCCGTCCCCCGGCATCGTCCTGCCGCCGCTTTTTCGAGGGCCCCGGTGCGGTGTTTGTGCGCCGCTGTCGTCGTTGTCCCCCCCTACCCCGCCGCCCAGGTGGGGTGACGTGTCTCAGGTGACATTGAAGCCGTTGCTGAGCCGCTGCCGTCCCCGGCGCTGCGCAGCTGACTCTGTAAAGGCAGCTCTGGCTGCTCGTCCTTGTCCTGTCGCGGTGCCGGCCTCGGGACACGCAGTGTGTGTGTGCAGCCGACAGGCGTGGGGTAGGAGGCTCGTCTCCCTCTCCGTTTGCTCCCTTGCCGCTCCCGGAGGAGATGCTCTGACACCCGATACTGCCCTGTGTGCCTGGATGTCTGGTAGCACCCCAAACTGGGCTTTTCTGTCAACTCTGCCGTCCCAAAGTTGTAATCTTTGTGGGCAGAGGGAGTCTAGGGTTCGTATCCTCTGCTAAGGAAGGAAAGCATTTCCTCAGTTCCAATTGCTTGTTGATTTGCTGCCTCATCTTATCCTTACCAATGTCCCAAAACCTGATATGTGCCCTGCAAAAGGTATTGTTCGTATAGATCGAGCTATACAGATGGTAGGTCATTTCTTTTCTATTAGCAGGGAAGTTTGACATGCTTGGCCATGGTTCTCCACCTTCTTTATCTATAGGCAACAGAAGTGAGCAAGTTAACACTTTATACGATAATGTTGCCAGGCTTTTGGTCTCAGTTTTGTCTCTAATCTGCACGCACAAGCCCTGTGAGAAGGTTATGTTAATCACAATTTGGAAGCTGACCCCATGCTTTGAAAGGTGCTGCCCAAAAGATTTGTTTGAAGCGATCCAATGTTAATACCTTACAGCGCTGGCTTATCTCCAACTTAGAATCCTAAACTCTGCCAAGTGATCTTTGTGACAGAGTCCTCTTTTTTTTTTTCCACCTTTTCTTTGAAATTTTCTATTGGTGTTTGCCCCACAAGCTGTGAGGCACAGTGAAATTCACTATGTTTTAACAAATGCCTTAGTAGAAATCAAGCCAGTCAAGCTTCTCTTGTGCTGTACTTCTTTCCTTGGTGCTTGCATCCTTATGCTGCTTTCAGTGCATTTAATGCTCGTCATTCTTGTTTCTACAAGGGTCAGCCTGTCTGCAGCTGAGCTACTTCTTTTTCTATTTCTGCTGAAGTTTTACTCTTGGGGCATTTGCTTCGAGTGGATGGCAAAACTTCATCAGTGTTTTTAGGTTTGAGTTTTGGATGGAAGTTTGGGAAATTGTAGCTTGCGTGGCTGTTGAACCTACGCTTTCTGAAGATGGACTCTTCAACGTGATTCTGATTAGTATCAAAAAATTACTTGTGATTCGTATTAAAAAAAATTACTTAAAGTACTTCATGCTTCAAGATTTATTTGGAGCTACTGATTAGGAAACTTGTACAGCTATAAAATTTCTTGATAGAGTGAGCATTAAATATGTTTTTGTGGAGAGCAGAGAGTAAGAAGTATAACCTGGAAACCCAGTGTATTGGGTTTGCTTTGCGTGGCAAGGTTTTGGTAGCGGGGTGCTACAGGGGTGGCTTCTGTGAGAAGCTGCTAGAAGCTTCCCCCATGTCTGACAGAGCCAGGGCCAGCCAGCACCAAGGCCAACCCCATCAGTGACAGTAGTAGTGCCTCTGGGATAACGTATTTAAGAAGGGGGAAAAAAGTTGCTGCGGAACAGAAACTGCAGCTGGAGAGAGGAGTGAGAACATGTGAAAGAAAAAACCCTGCAGACACCAAGGTCAGTGGGGGAGGTGCTCCAGGTGCCGGAGCAGAGATTCCCCTTGCAGCCAGTGGTGAAGACCGTGGTGAGGCAGGCTGTCCCCCTGCAGCCCAGGGAGGTCCATGGTGGAGCAGATATCTACCTGCAGCCCATGGAGGACCCCACGCTGGAGCAGGTGGGTGCCCGAAGGAGGCTGTGATTCCGTGGGAAGCCCACGCTGGAGCAGGCTCCTGGCAGGACCTGTGGCCCCATGGAGAGAGGAGCCCATGCTGGAGCAGGTTTTCTGGCAGGACTTGTGACCCCATGGGGGACCCACACTGGAGCAGTGTGCTCCTGAAGGACTGTACCCTGTGGGAGGGACCCCACACTGGAGCAGTGGAAGAGTGAGGAGTCCTCCCCCTGAGGAGGAAGGAGCGGCAGAGACAACATGTGATGAACTGACTTCAACCCTCATTCCCCATCCCCCTGTGTCGCTGCGGGGAGGAGGTAGAGAATTTGGAGTGAAGATGTGCTTGGGAAGAAGGGAGGGGTAGGTGGAAGGTGGTTTAAGATTTGGTTTTATTTCTCATTACCCTACTCTGGTCGATTGGTAATAAATTAATTTTCCCCATGATAGTAATTAGCGAGTGATCTCTCCCTGTCCTTATCTTGACTCCTGAGCCTTTCATTACATTTTTCTCTCCCCTGTCCAGTTGAAGAGGGGGGAGTGATAGAGTGGCTTTGGTGGGCACCTGGCATCCAGCCAGGGTCAACCCATCACACCCTTCTTCCTAAATGCCTTCTGGTTTCACCTGTGCTAGATAAATTTAAACTTGGAAGAATTTGAGAACGGACCTTTCTATAGTCAAAGCCTAAAATGTTGTTACAATTCTTGCCTAAAACTACTGACTGGCAGAGGGGTGATAGATTACAGACAGCCTCTGACATCTGTTAGTGTCTGTTGCCGTTTTTTGTTTACATTAGTAGCCAAGAATTACAACCATGCCTTCAAATGCTGTTAGCATGGTGGTTGTCATGATATAAGACTTATGTTCTGGACCAGTAAAGGAGTGTGGGTATAAGAGGTTTTTTATTTGTCTGTACTTGTCAGCTGATGTGACAAAAGATAAGACTTCCGTATTTCACTTAAAATGCCTGTGGCTGTCTAAGACTTATGTGCACTTGATGGTCTCTCAGAACCATGTTTTCAGGTTCAAAGCTTCAGGATTTACAGTTTGCAAGAAATAGTGAAGTAAATTGATACTGTAGCTGAAAGTTGCTTATATCCGGGAAGGCATTGAAGAAACTGGAAGCGTGATAGCTGAGAGCGCTATGCTGTGTTAGTAGGCTGGTGAGACTTAATACAGCTGTAGAAAAAAGTACTCTGATTTTAACAGTGTATTTTTAAAGAGGGAGAAAACAGCAAAATTATCCGCTAAATCAAGCTCTTTGTGAAGTGAGAAACTTATTTGTTAGTTTTGAGCTTGGGTGTTTTCCTTTGTGGGCATTACATGAATCTTCTTCTTCCTGCAGACCCCTTTGCTGATGCAACAAAGGGTGACGACTTACTCCCGGCGGGGACTGAGGATTATATTCATATAAGAATCCAGCAACGAAACGGAAGAAAGACACTAACAACAGTTCAGGGAATTGCAGATGATTATGACAAGAAGAAACTTGTGAAAGCTTTCAAAAAGGTGAAGTTGCTGATTTGATTTGATAATAAAGATATTATATAAAGGAGTATGATAGCTTTCAATACTAAGTAATGGAATGTTTGTTTTATTTTGTTCTTGCCAGTACACATCACTTTCATATTCTGGTTGATCCCTTTCCTTGTCTTTCTCAAAACTCCTGTGTCACCAGACACTCATTTTTGCTAAAAAGTTAAATATTTCTTCCTATAAAGTAAGTAAAATATATTCCGAATGTTTCATTAAAATTTCACAGATACCTGGCTTTGTTGACGTGAAGAATAAAATCAGTTTAAAGTAGAACTGGTTTTGCATTCCTGCTTCTGTCATAGCTGGGTTGCTGTTGAAAATAGAGATCTTGAGTTTCACCAGGATGAAAATATTTATTTTAAAATAGTGTGGAGTTGAAAGGCTGTATCTGATGACTTTGTTTTCCATTCTTGTAATGAGTGTTGGCCAGTTTCTTCTGCACAGTAGCTAATCCTGTCTTTGCCTGAATTTACCATCAGCAGCTTAGTTTGTGTCTGTATGCATCAGCAGGTATATTCCATTTGCTCTCAAAACCAGTGTAAAACAGATCTAGCCTTTGCCTTGCTTGGCATCAGAATTTAGTAAGCAGCCCCTGTGACAAAATTCTGCTGAAAAGACTTACTAAGCAAAATCATAATGTACATCAGATGTCTTATAATATGAATGTTTCTCTCTAGAAATTTGCTTGTAATGGTACTGTGATTGAACATCCTGAATACGGTGAAGTTATCCAGCTTCAAGGTGACCAGAGGAAGAACATTTGCCAATTCCTCTTGGAGGTGAGGGACTGCAGATAAATATCTAAACCTCTCTGGAAGCAATAGAGTGGCAGGTGGCACTGATGTTAATTAAGCAGCTAAAGATGTCCCCTTTAGTTCCTTTGTATTTTCAGCCAAAAAGTAAAGTGATGCTTGCAGAATGAGAGTAAACCTCTGGTAAGAATCAAAAGCACTGTAGAATGCATTTACCCTGCTACAACAGACCACTTGTTCTCTGGCAGCGCAACTCGAGTTCTTAATTTGTAAAATGAAGTGTTTGATGCAAACCATAATTCTGAGACTGAAAACACTATAGAGGAAAGAGGCTTACTGATGTAAATCATGATGCAGAGATGTTACACTGTCAAAGAATAAGTGCTTGTACTACAGAACGAGTCAGATGTCTGATGAGATTTTCTGTTTTGTGTAGTCAGTTATTCTGCTTGGCCCAGAAACATTCTGAAAACTAGAAAACTGCTTTATTGAGTATATACTGTTTTGCAGTTTCTTTAATCAGAGTATAAAATTGTGGTAACTTGATATCACTGTTAATATCCTAAGTGGGTAAGCTTTACTGAAATATGTTGCTTTTCTCCTTTAGATTGGCATTGTCAAGGAAGAACAACTGAAAGTTCATGGTTTCTAAAATACCTGTACTCTCATGAAGAACCCTGCAGTATTTGGTCTTACCTAGCCTGGCTCTTCTGTGAAAAATGAATCTTTGCAGTGAACGGACTTCCCTGTTACCTGAACATTTAAAATTTGATTCACATTTGCATGACTGTGTGAAACATGTGGTGTGTAGACTAGAAACACATAAGAAAACTTCAGTAAGGTGGTAATGAAGACACTTGTGAACTTTAACACATTTCCAATGGAAATGTTTTAGCAATGGTTGTTCAGTTGAGTACTCACCACCTGACTGAAATGTGTGGGCTGTATTACAATAGAGTGTGTTGTTGCTTAAAAATAAAAGTTTATTCATATATTTTCTGGGATATCTGAAATGCTTTAGCTTAAGTTTTAAACTAGCGCAAGCAGCCTTACTAAAGACTGGCTTAACTGATTTGTGGCAAGTGTAGCTCACTGCTGATTGAATAAATTGGAAAATCTACACAATAAAGTATTAGCTAATTAATCAGTAGATTAGCTTGATGTGATCTTATCCTGTAGCTGTAAGACTAGAGCTTTAAAGTCTTTCGTGTAGGTGTATCTTAGTAGCAGCATGATAAGACATAAATTGTTTGCTGAGTAAGTAACTGGATCTTCTCTAAAATTTACTGCAGTGACTATGAAGTATAGTAGGACTAAAATAAGCTGAACTCCTATATGCTGTTACTGATGACATGCTAAACATCTAGGTCTTGCATAGTAGTGCCAAAATATTTGAAGGAAATGCATGGGATTTTGTATCTCTTCTGTCACTGAGTGAAGGGAAAAGACATTGAGTTAACTTCTGCCATGACTGTGCCTTTAACATTGGCAAGCAGAGCGCTTTAGTTAGCTGGTAGTGTTAGCTGCAGAAGTAAAGAAGGGAACAGGCTCTATGCTAACCTTTTCACCTTTTTTTTTTTCCCCCGGTATGAAAAGTTTTGCTGTGATTAATGTTTAATATGGAGGGGTTTGTAGTGGGGTTTGGGTGTTACTACAGAAAGCTGATTTAGCCTACTTTTTTAGCAGGCAATTTATTCAGTGTTATCCGAAGTTATAATAGGTTTGTTCCACCATGCTTTTCATCTAGTTTTACTTAGCTGTAGGCATTTGGTATTCTGCTTTTAAGAGATGTCTCTTTACAGAATGAAATTACTTCATTTGGTGAAACATGCAAAACTTATCTTCCTTGTGAGACAGGCATGGAAATTTTCTCTGAAACGTTTCAAAACATGCTGAGCTGAGAAACGGTAAAAATAGCGGGAAATGTTAAAAAAACCTTCTTGTAATATAATGCATTCTCTGGAAAGGAAGAAAGAGACATTTCTTTACTGCTAAGACTTGTTATTAATAACAACTTATTCATAAAAAATAAAAATCGATGACTACCTAAGTAAACATCAAGAATAGGCAAAACTATATTACTTAATATCACCTGTGCCTATGCTTTTTTTCCTGTTCAGACTTGACTTTCTAAACAGAAATGCTAAATTTTAACTCATTTGAACTTTTTTTTTAGATTTCTGAATTTAGCTATGAACCTTTATGGCACTAGCAACAATTAAGGGGGCATTATAGAGCATTCATATGACAATTTCTTTCTCTGTCTGGTCTAGACAATTCCACCTGTAAGAATCCAGTGTCCAGTCTCTCAATCTCCACAAATTCTGCCTGGTGTTACAGATCTTAACTGTTCCAGACAAAGGATGTTCCAGAAGATTGTATACTGTTAAGGTATAATATGTTCAAGAGGAGGAGAAGGGAATGCCTGCTGCAAAACATGAAATGCCAGCACACAGAAGGAAAATCCAAAGAATAAGTCTTTTGCAAGTCTTGCACATTAGCAGAATAAAATCATTGTACTGCAAGTTTACCTAGTCCTGATTCATAGGTGCTAAGGTAATGAATCCTTTGGGGGTACCTAGCACTTAGTGATTTTCATTTTCTGAAATGCCAGACAAAGAGGCGTTCTTATCTAAAGCTTGCTCTCCTGCTCAAGACGAAAAACAAGCAGTATCTTCTCCTGTTTCACTGGTATTATGTGAGTACTTCTGGTGATTTTTGAATTGGAGATTAACAAATGATTAGCAAGTCTCATGTGTTACTGAGTTACTCTTCATTTCAGATGGCATTCCATTAACTTTTACTACCTAAGCTTGAGTCATTTCTCCATAGTCACTCTATGTGAAATAAATAAAAACCTTTGTTTTCTTCCTCCTCATTTAGAAGTCCTTTCTGGTGGGAGGAATCTTGCAGTTGATAGGTGTCTTGGTTTTATGCTCTAGTGGAGCTGTTTGTATTTTGACCTTTGACCAAAATTAAAAGGAGAGGGAATAAGAAGTAACACAATTGAAGTTTAAATAGATGAGATTTGTTGTGGCAACAAACAATTTAATCTTTGTAGAAGGAAGGCAGAAATGTTTGTCCTTGAAGTGTTTTAAACTAGAACAGTGTATCGATAAGATTGTAACTAGTCTTGTTACAAGCCCAAGCCTCTTTGCATGTTCTGGAGGAAGGGCTTCAACAATTTCATTTATTATCATCTTATGCTGAAACTTCTTTGTCAAAGCTCAGCCTATTTGGAATATGTATCTGTGTTTCAAGAATGCTGAAGAACATGGAAGACGTTGGGAAAGAGCTGTTTAAATTACTGCCATGAAAACCTGTTTTCACAGTGAAGACAGGTTTCAGTCTTTCTATCTGTTCCAAAATAGGTTAAAAAATGGTAAAGGATGTGGCCCATAAATGTCGAGGCAGTAAAAGGGAGCTAATAATAGAAAACACTTTTAAAACCTACTAGTAGGACTTGAGACTGGGCAAGCTCAGACTGCAAAGAGTAGCAGCTTTTCTTTTTTTTTTTTTTTTGTTGGAATATTGTTAAGTCCGTGTCCTTCAGATCTCCAAACCAAGACTGCCTTCTTAGTGATATCTAGGCTTAACCACAAGCTGCAATGGGATGTAGGAGCTGCCATTTCAGATTCACAGCCTTGTTGTTCATAGTTGTATTAGGCTGTTGTAGCTGACTCTTTCAGTTGATACACTGGAGTAAGGTGTTGCATAAACAAATTCATTGAATTGTCTGTTCAGAGCTTACGTCTACTTAATGCAGCTATGAACAGTGAAACCATCGTTTACCAAATGGTGGTAGCAGTCCCTGTTTGTAGAAGGTGAGATTTAGTAATTTAAGTCTGTAAGCTGCCTACTTTCTCTTGTGTGAATTATCAGGTCCTTAATCTTCACCCGTGATCTGCTAAATCTGACCATGTGTTTCAGAGATGAGTGTAGCTATGGGCAGATGAGCAGTAATTTTGTCAAGGGAAAGAACCTTTGAAAAGAATAATGCCCAGATTATGTGTGCGTGCTATTCATTGGTCCAGTGGCTTTGCTTAAACCTTATTTCCTGTACTGCATTCTTGCACAGCCTAAATAAAAAGCATTTTGTTTGAGAGAACTTTTTTGGAGGGGGAGGAGGGAACCCCACAAAAAAAAACCACTTTAGGAAATAAGTTTGTATCTTAAGTCTGTTTTCATTAACTTAGGTTCTCCTGGGCTGCAAGACCTCTATAACATTGTTATTTCTGTATCTTTAAAAATCCTAATTAAACTTATTGAGTTTGGCATTTAAGGTTCTAAATATATCTAAAGCCATTGTAAAACTTAAAGTTGTGAAGAGTTGTTGAAGCTTAATTTTTAAATATTTGAAAAAATAATAATCAAGCAGAGCTCTGCATTTTGTCTTATACATCCTGCTTATAATTGGTATGTAGTTGCCTTGAAGATGCATACGTATTTACAGACTTGCCAGTAAGTGGATATCCTTGCTGCAGTGCAATACCCTGTTTGTAGTTTTTGTAAGATCTTATCTAATGTGCTGCACTGTTACAGGCTGTATTACTCTAATTTTACAGTATAGGACAGATGTACCTTCAGTTCCAGTCAGCAATTATCTTTTTCTTAATCCTCCTGGAAGGCTCTAGTGCACAGGATCCATGTGATACACCCTCGTTTAAAGTGGCTCAGTTGTTCCTCTTACTATGTGAAAGTATGTACAAGATTGGTATTTAGCCAGTTAAAGAATGGGGGAGGCCTCTTTATAGATTACTTTGGGACACAGTAGGGGTTACTGTCACTTTTGGTGTGTTCAGTGTTCATTAATGTCACTGAGTGTTCCTCTAATTAGTGTGCTACTGCCACTAGGGAAATGGAAGTGGGCTTAGAGGGTCATGTGTGTTTAAGTACTAAGAATCTGCCTTCCTCCTAAGACTCTTCATAAATCCATACTCAGTTTAATTAGGAACGTGTCTCCCATGCACGGCAACATGAAGGTTATTTTCCAGTTGCCAGATCAAAAGCTCTTGAGATGAGTAAGGGAAAAATGACATAGTTGGTTTTATGTTTGCTGTACAGATGCTTCATGACTACTGTTTCCAGTTTACATTTAAAAAAAAAAAGGATTTGTACTTGGCATGCCTTTTTAATGTTTACTACATGCCTGTGATTGATCTCTTTATGAATAAGTCTTAACCTGTATTGGAGTATTGCTAGAGAGTTGAGACAACAAAGTCTTTTGAAATAAAATGTACCAATGTTATTTTATGTATGCTTTTCTAAAACAAATGGAATTTTATGCTGTTATTAAGGAGGACTGGTTTTTTGGGTGGAAGACAGAAGTAGTGTAATTTAATAGTGATGTATGTGATCTTGTAATCAGCTTTGATTTTGTCAAGAAATGTTATATTTCCTCTTTCAAATTTTGACCATAGTCTGTACTAACCAACTTAAAAATATTGTGACTTGTACTGGGATATCATAGCTCTAAAACAGGGTAATCATATTAGCTTGAGGTCTAAAATTTTGGGTAGAAGAGGATCACCTAATTTCTTGAATAAGCAGAATGCACAGTGTTTGAAGATGAAGCCAGTAGCGTGTGCTCAAGTTTGGTCTCAGCTATTTTAGAAAGTCTTGCATCCATGAAATGTGACAGCACATTTCTGAAATTAATTTGGGGTCTGATTAAAAGTACTTGTGTATATAATAAATGCTTTTTTTTTCCCCATTTTAAGCCATCTTTGCTATGATTATGCAGAAAAAAACCCCCATGGTCCAGGCTCAGTTCTCTTAAGTTACAAGTAGCTGAATTCAGCAGATGTGGTTGCAAGTAGAACAGTCATGCTCCTCAAAGACAGGGTTTAGCTGTCAGCTGTGTTTGTGGTCCCTCTGACAATTGGACAGGGAGACAGCGCTGTTCCTACAGTGCGGACAAACAAGCCTTGAGAATCGTGATGGCACAGCTAACCCCATGGAAGAGGTGATGCAGCAGTTAGTTCAGTAGCTGTC